GGGTCCTACCTGTACACAATAATAAAATGTTTTATCTAATTTTCCACAGCAATCACAGCAAGTGACTGGTTGTAAATGTTTACCTGTTCAGGCTATATCAATGACTGCACCTCTTATCACATTACTAGCTTAGATTGGCTGCAGTCCATACCTCTGTATAAGCAGTCAGAGGCTCTTAATGGGTTAACTGTATGCTGAGAACAGCTTAGTTCAGCCAGTACAGCCAGCACCATTACACCACTGGCTGTTGGGTGTGCTATCAGTATTTTCTGCTTAAACTGTAGTTTAAAGTACATCCGGTACTTTAAACATGCATGCTGTCACCTGGAAAGTGATTTCTTCTTGGATATATCTGTATCCCTAATGATTTCAATAAAGAGTGTTGTCAAAGGTAGGAACTTTTCACCTAATTTTTATTTTTGGGTCACATTAAATTAGTAAACCTAGTTTTTATCCTTCTATGAAATGCTTATTTTAATTATTAATTATTTCTAGTCCTACACTGAAAAAAGACATTCTCTGCAATGTTGTTGGAGCGACTGCATTTCTTTTTTGCACCAATGAGAGACTTTTACCAAGATAAACAGAACTCTTACAAAACATAGTTTTCATGTGAGTGTAAACAATTCTAAAAGAAAGCCCTGCAGCAGTGAGGGACAGCAGACAGGTGAAAGAGGTATTTAACAGACTGCAAACACACTCGGCCTTTTCTTCATCCACATATCCATGCATAACTTCCTCACTGCCTCTTTATTTATTTGCATAGACATCAAATCTATTTGTTTTCTTGTGTGGCAGTGAGATGAAGAGAAAGTGGAAAATGCAGAAACAAAATGTCACCAAATAGTAAGCTTAAACCTTTGCGATAGTAAATATTTGCAACACTCCTGTTTTAAGATATTACAGAATAACACGATATGTGGAACTATAAGCATGTTCTGTCAGAATAAAATGGAGCGGAAAAAAGAAACAATACACCAAAAACAATTCATAGATTAGCAGATTTTCAGAAGCAAGAATCCAACTCAATCATAACAATAACTTAACTCAAAGTATAATGTCAATACAATCAGTATTTTTCTCCTCTGAGGTTGTTTTTGGGCTGCAATTGATTTGAATAGGCTGGTCATATGCCTTATAACAATATGTCAACTCAGAAAGTTGGTTTCTTTTTCTTTTACACTAAGGCACCAGTTCTGTCCATCTCCAGTTGCCAAACTACATGTTTACATTTGTTATTGTGAATCTTAGCATTCAAAGGACTAATGTGAACACACAAAAACAAAACACACAAACACTGAGGTAGAGAAATGACTTCAACTTCTGCAGAGTAGTGACTCAGTCCAAAGCCATTGCCATCAATGAAACCTTCTTAATCTAAATGTGATAAAAGTACATTACGGTATATGGACCCTTTTTGTAACCCCAAAACACATTCTTACCCATTACAGAGTTGAGTGGCTCTATATTAGCTTAATAGCAGGGCCTTACTACATTCATCAATTTAAGTTAAAAATAATATTATGATAAATGCTGGTGATAAATGTTCTGAGCTTGAAGAAGAAAATACATTAAAATAATTAATGACCATTTACCCAGATGTTTAGTTTACTGTTTTTCCATTTGCCTGTTTGTGCTTTACGCCTAATTAAACCTCACTTAACACCAGCACTGTACTTTTTAAACACTCACAATGACTGGAAACAGACACGTTTGAATAATGGAGCCCTATCTAATGGGAACAAATATCAGTAGGACTTGAACACAAGGTTTTTTGTCCAGAAATAGTTCTTTTACCAGATGACAAAGGGAGTCTATCATTTAGGGTAACTCACAATTTTACTTGTTTAATTACAATCCTAATCAAATATACAGTTAGCATAAACTGCATTTTTGTTTTGAGGCATATCTTACATTTTATATGTGCCAATATTCTTATTTTGCTTGATGTAAATATTTCATTATTTATAAATTGTCAGTACAAGACAGTTTCTAATGTTGATCCTGTTTGACCCACAGCTTATCCTGGGTTTTAAATTTCGGCATCTTGAGAGATTGAGTTGGACACCACTGTAAACTGTTCTTGACCATTTCTACATTTAAAAAAAACTAATTTAATAATGGTAGCAACTGTCACTGTAGATTTGTATTCTTAACAGCATTTAAAAAATAAGAACAGGGGTAATATTGATGGGATATTATTGATCCAAAAACCATTCTGGTAATGGCAACTTTTCCAATTTCTACTCCTGTTTTTGTCTCTGTTGTCAGTGTCTGAATGCCAACCCTGAGGGTGATGGAGTTGAGCAGGCAACTCTGTGGAAAAATGAAGAGGTCTGGAAAGAGAGCCCCACTCTCCACCTCACCTACTGCCACCTGGGGACTGGAGATTCACTTTTACGCACAAGATGTGCACCAGCTTGAGTATTTCAAAGGGTGCTACACTGCGGAGGAACTCTGTGTTGATGCAGCCAAAAAATGCTGTGAGTGTGACCCAAAATATATTTTTTCTGCTTATCCTACAAACTATTTGGAAGCCAACCAACGACAGTCTGTTCAGATCTTCACAGAGCATTTTAATCTTTTTCTCCACATGTATTGGCCCTTGTTGACATGGTCAGTTAATCACAAACAAATTAAAATCGGTCTCAATATTGATTTATCTTTCATCTCCTGTTTCAGCCATCTCTCCATTGTGCCATAATTTATTTTCCCTGTACGAGGAGAGCACCAACACCTGGTACCCTCCAAACTATGAGTTCAATGTCTCAAAGGAAACCAGTATCAGGTTACACTATCGCATGAGGTAAGAATGACATCACAACACAAGCTGACACCCTTGCAGATGAGTGCTTTAAATGTCATGGTACAACTATAGAAACTTACAACAAAGATTATTGTTATTATTATTATTATTATTATTATTGTAGAACTATTCTGTAGATACCGAACATCACTTGTTACCAAGATTTGTCTAAATCATCTTAGAAACACAAAGCTTGGGATTTATAGTTTAACACAGAGCAACTAGCTCAAGATGTGAAGATCTTTTACCAGGACAATAAAGGCATCACTCACCCCTGACCCCTGTTTTGGACCCTTGGGAGTTCACCACGCTGACCCCAACATAGGTCATGTAACGGACAATTGCCCAGGGATTACAATGAAGAGCTAAAGACTGGTCTAACTGTGACTTGACGTAAATGTGGGTTACAAAAAATGATGGGAAGGCCCTGTTTGCCCCATGTGGTGCTACAGTATGAGACATTTGCTACATGACCTGTTTACAAAACACATTTGAAATATTTTACTTATGTGAGATAGTTGCAAATCAGGTTGTCCAAGGCAAAGAATGGTATTCAGTTTAAGGTGCGTGCCAATGGGTTGTATAAACTGATATGGCGCGGCACAAGTGGCATATGGCACAAACCTTGTACAATATCATATTCTATGCTGTTGAAGGGTATAAAAAAAAGCCAATGCTAACCACGTATTGATTACCAAAACTGCAATTGATCTGAACACATTTCTTTTATTTAACCTTTATTAAGCCATACAAGTCATTAAGAACAAATTCTTATTTACAGTGGCTACCTACTAAGACTAAGATCAACTGGAATGGAGCTGTGTCCGTATACAAACGCTTTTTAAAAAATAAATAATTACAGTTCAAGACTTTTCTCAGATCATCTATTCTGTTTGGTTGCGTTTCAAACTGAGACAGGAAAAAGCCACACATCTGTGGTGTCAGTTGCATTTCCTCTATCTACAACAGCAAGTGCAGGAAAATGACTAACAGCCTACATCATAGTTACTCTATGGTGTAGGTTGCATGTTTATCTTTGGCATGCTCATGGTGTACCTATACTGTATCTTGCTTCAGCATGCTTTGCATGCTCTACAGCTGTCTCCATGACAGAGCTTTTATGGTCACAAACACTGTTTTACATAAACAAATACCAAGAAACATGAAGGTACCTGCAGGGTATATTTACAGTTGTACCAAAAACTATTTATCTGATTTATCTGTCTGCAACAAGCTCTTGTGTTTGATTCAGTACTACATGTAATTAGGTTCGTCTCAGTATTATTATCTGCAGGATTCTTCAAAAAGGACAAAATTCAGTCGAGTTCCAGATTGGATGCAAAATGGAAGAACAGTTTTCAAAACTTTTGTTTTGTCCTTTGTGTCCCTGCCCAGGTTTTATTTCAGAAACTGGCATGGCATCACAAAAGGAGAGTCTTCAGTGTGGAGACACTGCATCAGTAAACTCAGAGGAGGACTGAGCTCACAGAAAATGTCCGAGGGAATCCCCTTATTAGACGCTGCGTCTCTCAACTACCTGTTTGCTCAGGTCTGTCCAAGGAAACAGTTCTTATTGTTACTGTTGTATTTTATGGATATGTTCTCAGCTGCTAAACAAATCTTTTGATCACCCCTCACATAAAAGCACCAAAACAACACTTGTAAAATTTAACCACAGATTTTGAAAGCTGTTGAGGTTTAACAAACTGAACATCACCAGCTGGGAAGAAATTACAATATCAGGAAGTGAAGTCAGCAACTGATGGTGTTATCAGTAAGAGCTAAGTGGTGCAACCACTTTCCTGAACAATCACATGTTGCAATATTGATCATCTCATACAGGATCAACATTATGAACTTGATATTTCCATAGTACTTTTGTAATTAGTTTTTCCACTGTAATAATGCCATTATTTTGATTAGTCACAAATAATCGTGATTATCGAGATAATTCAACATCACTTTTAAGATGACACACTTAAACCTCACCTAGAGATAGTCCAAGCTCTAGCATGCCACATGTTTCCCCAAAATACACGGACATAAAAGTCCTTATCACTGTTGGCTCTCAATGTTTTTTAGTCAAAATGATCTTTCATAAACACAGACTTTGCAGAAGGAATATTTTGTGATTTATTCAACCGTTATAACTTAAACTTTTTAGCTACCATGTTTGGTGTCAGGCCTGTTTAGCTTCACTGTACACAGCTAACAACAAATTAGCTTCTGGTTTAAAGTCATACACAGATACAAACATTTTAACTGTAGGTGAGCAACACTTACATGATATGATATTGAAATATATTTTCATGTGTAGAAGAAGCCTTGTTGTCACATTTGTTTGTCCATGTGGAGGTAGCATGCCACAAACCACACACACTGTCTTCTTTTACCATTAAGTTCAGAGGATTCAATACTGACCATCTTTTAAAGTGGCCTCTAGTGGCAGTCACACTAACTACATCTGACAGTCTGAGACCTTGACTAGGATATAATGGAACTATTACCTCCACATTGCTTTAAAGTATTTCGGATAAGAATTAAATATTAAAAGTTCTACATGCATTACCAGAACAAAGAGTATTCCCGACCATCTACCTGTTTTATTATTATTATTATTATAAGGAGGTTTAATGTGGTGATTGCCAGAATGTCCATTTACTCCTGACTTTTCTTCTGCAGGGCCAACATGACTTTCAGAAGGACTTTGTTCCACTGAGGTTGTGCCAGACGGAGGCAGAACAACATGATTTAGAAAACGAGTGCCTGGGCATGGCTGTGCTCGCCATCAGTCACTATAACATGACCACGTCTGTGCCAAATCCTTCCAATGATATCAGGTAATCCACCGACACAGAGACACACCCACCTACATGCATTGTTGCAGTGCCGTATTGTATTGTATATATTCTGTTTTCCACAGCTGATTGTCAACAATGTGGGATCAATACAATTTAATCTAATCTGCTCTGACCTGATTGCAGCAGCAAGAATGTGTTTGTCTAAATCCTCTTTTTATTCTCAATCCCACCAGCTACAAGCGGTTTATTCCAGAGTCACTGAACCGCAGCATTAAGCAGCGCAACATTCTGACTCGCATCCGCATCAACAACGTCTTCAAGAAATTCCTCGGAGAATTCAACGGTCGCACCGTCAAGGACAGCAACATCACGCCGTACGACTTGAAGATCAAGTACTTGGCCACACTGGAGGGGCTGACCAGTGGTCTGGGCTGCGAGCTCTTTGAGCCAATTTCACTCAGCGTGTCACAGGAAGGAGAGTTTTCCATTGGTTACAATGGTGAGAATGAAGTCAAAGACACTCCTCATTATTGAATGTTTTCTGCATTCTTAAAAATCAGAAGTTTCAAAACAACAGCTTAACTTTGGTATAAAATATTACTAATATTTGCATGAAAAAAAGTTTGTATTAAAACGTGTCCTGTGTTTTTGTTACGTTTTGTTTTTTTTGTACAGGGTATTACAACCAGATGCAAAGTCAAAGCCAGAATCAAAACATGGAAGTTTTGGTTTCTGGAACAGTTGGAATTTCCTGGAGAGAAAAACCAGTAAGTAGAATTGCTGTTGAAAGTTTTCTTGAAAAACTTCAAAAAACTTGAGAATTTCATTTGACTGTTAAACATAATAAACCTACACATGTAATTTCAAATAAAGTGTGTAAGATACAATTATTCTTTCTACTTTTACAGTGTTCCAGTCACTGCTCAAGTTTACTGATCATGATCGCCCTCTTTTATCTTTTATAACAGGTGTTGGTGTCCGTCAAAGAAAAAAGCAAATCAAAGAAGAACAAGTCGGACGGCAAACAACAAAGCGACGCAAAGAAAGAGGCATACGAGGGCTGGGTGGTGTTCTGTGACTTCCACGAGATAATCCACACCGCCATCAAGGAGGCAACAGTCTCCATCTATAGACAGGACAAGAAGATGGTGAGACAGGAAGTTGATTATTATGGCTTATGTCAACAGCTGAGATATTATTTAATTTTGTGATTTTCTCAAAAGCCAGAAATAAGCTGTATATTGCTTTGTGAAATATCTTTTTTTTTTAGGAGATGCAAATGAGCTCTAGGACCGAGGCTCTCTCCTTCCTTGCTCTGGTGGACGGTTACTTCAGGTTGACAGTGGACGCTCACCACTACCTGTGCAAGGAGGTGGCCCCAGCGTCAGTGGTGAAGAACACTGACGACGGCTGCCATGGGCCTATAAGGTGAGACCTGTCAAAGTAACTGATGTGAGGTCAGTCTGTGTGACTGTCAGTTTGGTTCTACAGGCCTGGGTAGGGAAATATTGATCCTATCGAAAAGTGCAACCATCCAAGTGTGAAGCACCAAAACAAAGAGATAATTTACAATGACACGACTACGTCACCTTCACTTTCAAGCGCAACCTCAGCCTAGAACAACGACAACATTTCCATTTGTCTTTAGCACTGGAATAGACACTGAAGATTATTACTTTCACAACAACCATTTATTGCACACATTTATAATGTTTTTCACTCTGAAGCACGGAGTATGCCACCCACAAGCTGCGTCATGAGGGCAATGAAGAGGGCACCTACATCCTGCGCTGGAGCTGCACCGACTACCAGTACATCATCATCACTGTTGTGTGCACGGAGGTACAGTGTTGTCCAACTTTAGCACCATTAGAAATACGACCATCTGTCAGTGTTGATAAGAAGAAACAATGGCTTCATTTATTTTCCTAATTTGTCAGTTTGAAATTTTAAAAATATTAAAGAGCCTGTGAACATGGATAGAACTTTCTTTAGAACCTTAGACACATTCATTTCTTTTTGCTAAATAAACAACTGGTTGGTAATAAAAGTTATTTACTAATGGATTTTCTTTTCTAAGTAAATGACAGCTCATACATTAACATGTTTAAGGTCACATCTCTACACATGAGTCAACATGGGTGGAATGACCCAGAGATGTTGACACATAGGTCCAACAGCCACTGGTTCCCTTCCCACTCCCTCAGTTCTTCTTCTTCTACTTGTGTCCTGCCCTTTTAAAGTCAAACACATTTTTGTCACTTGTCCTTTTTATTTCACTGTTAAACTCCACTCTTCCTCCGTACAGATTGATTTAAATGAGCCTCACCCGGTTCGCCAGTACAAGAACTTCCAGATCGAAGTGAGCCCTGAAGGCTGCCGCCTGGATGGCACTGACACGCTTCGGCCCACGCTCAGGGAGCTGCTGGAGCACCTGGAGGGTCAGAGTCTGCGTACTGACAATCTGCATTTCCAGCTGCTTCGCTGCTGCCCCCCACAGCCCCGAGGTTAGCAACCACACACACACACACACACACACACTATATATATATGTGTGTGTATATATATACTGTTCACTTGTGATGCAGTCATGATACAAGTTGCAAAGAGGCCTGTCTGTGTCTCACTGAGAGGTGGCAGGAAGGACTTGTGTGTCTGTGTGAAATTGTGTCAGGGAGGAAGAGAGTTGTAAATGTGGATTTCCTGAACCACAAAGACAAAAAGGAAAGGGGATATTATATATGTGTATACGTATATATATGTGTATGTGTATGTATAAGGCTTTAATGGGTTTTTACTTTTTCTGAAATTATTTTTATTTTTATATATTTTTTATTATATTGTCAGATATATAATAGAAGTTAATGTGTATACGAATTGAATAATTAAAATGAATAATTAAAAGTTTATAAACTGATTGAGGCCAATCCTATTATTCCAAAATAGTGAATTTTCCTAAAAATGCCTTAAAAACAGCATTTTTCAGTGACTGAAAAAGTCGGTGGAAAATGGGTCATGCCTCCTTTCTTTAAATAACACCTATTAATCACGTTTATATTTTGGATTTGGAAAATTTTAGAATCATAACCAGCTTTAGTTTGTGTACATGGAATTTGACTCATTTTGCTCTGAGCCGTACACCTGGTGCATTTAGATATAAAATCAATTAACAAAAAGTAAAAAAAAAAAAGGACCACAGTCTGGTTTCTACTCATTAAAATTTGGTAACATTTTTTCAAAAGATAGACTGCAGACAGACCAGTCACTCACTTGTCTTTGAAGGCATGCTCTTGTAGTGTGTGCAGTTTCAGGCATCAGTTCCTATGTGTTTCTAGGAAAAAGAGCAATACATTAAACATCTTTTAAGCGTTTTTTTTGCCCCTGAAAATAGACACGACATTGAGTTGTGTGCAAAAACTTACATATACTGCTACTTTGAGGCGTGCCCCGTGTTGTATTTTTGCTTTTCGCACTGGTCTGAACACATTTTGAGATTTCGTGCCTCAGAACTTTGAACATAGAACAAGGTGAAAACCACAGAGAGCTGGTTTTTATCAAAACATCAGAAAACCACAGGCCCAGACACATGCTCAGAGTCATGTACTAGACACATTTTAACTTTGTTCTCCCACACATACATTTCTAAAAATACATAAAAATCTAAAGACACGGCTTGGTTACCCAGTTCAGGTAACCGTTCACATTATTACCACACTGACGTAATTAAAGAGCGCTTCTTTTACCACTTGTAAAAATTGCTTTTGTGCTCCGTACCATGGCAGTGCAACGTCTTGACTGTGTTTGAAAGATCTAGGTTTGATTATAAAAAAACACCTCGAGTGCACGTCGCTCATACTTTATCGTCCTCAAATATAATCCTGAAACTACTTGACATATCAAACAACCAATCACTCTATGACTCATGACTATTCAGCACATACTGTGGGACATGTTTGTGTCATGAGCCCTGAGTTGTCAGTTGTACAGACCTGATTCAGAGCAGCAACGAAATGTGGGCTGAACGGCCAGGGAGCAGTGTGTGTCTGGTGGATTTGAACCTGCAACCTCCTGGACAGTAATATAAAAAAATATAAACATTAGGAAGTAAGGTAAATATTGAGGTGAAACATAATAATCAGACAGAAATGTAAACATCAGGGTAAAATGAACACATTTGAGTCTGATTTGGACAGACCAGACATTCACTAAAAAAAGCCCAAGTATATGTATAATATATATTTCATATATCTTTGTGTTTATTTTCCAGAGGTGTCCAACTTGCTGGTGGTCACTAAAGAGAGAGCCATGACGCCACAGGACAGTCATCTCAGCTTCATTCGTATCCTCAAGGAGGACATTCAGCAGGTTTGTCTGATTTCACTTTTCACCCCATTCTTCTTTGCTAAAACACGTTCTTTTACTTTGGGAGAATTTCTTGGAAATCACCTCTTACTGGTCCTGGGGTCTCCACCTGGTTTGGTCTTTTTTCTTAATGACAATCAGGTGGTTGACTTTGCAGGATGCTGATTTAAGCAGCTCTTCATTTTCCTTGATCCTGGATTTATCTTCACGATCAAATGTCATCCATGTTGGATGAAGGTGTTTTGTAAAATTTTGTTTCCGTTCTCCCAGGAGGAACATCTTGGCCGGGGCACAAGAACCAACATCTACTCTGGCACCCTGCGTGTGAAGAGTGAGGAGGACGAGGATGCAGGATACTCGTCCTTCCAGGAGGTGAAGGTGGTCTTGAAAGTGCTGGGATCTGGACACAGGGACATCTCCATGGTGAGACACTAGTTGCAAATCATACCTGCACATTTGATCCATTTCTTTCTATCCCCTAATATATATATTTTTAACAGGCCTTCTTTGAGACGGCTAACATGATGCGACAGGTATCCCATAAACACATGGTGCTGCTGTATGGAGTGTGTGTCCGCCACCTGGAGAGTAAGTACTTGTGAAGTGTGAGTGCACAACGCTGAGAAGCGAAGTGCTTTCATAATTGTCTTCCTTTTCTAATTACAGACATCATGGTGGAGGAGTTTGTTCAACTGGGACCTTTGGATGTGTTCATGAGGAGGGAGGCGGCTCAACTCACCGCCCTGTGGAAGTTCCAGGTGGCAAGGCAGCTGGCCTCAGCTCTCAGCTACTTGGTCTAACAAAAGTTTCTTCACCTGGCATTCTGTTGTGTTTAACACGGCCGTCAAATGATTGGAATGTTCATGTAATTAATTACAAAGTAGCTGCGGATTAGTCAGGATTAATCAGGATTAGTCAGGATTAATCAACATTCCTAAATAAGACAACAGAAAATCTCAAACTCAAAATTCTAACACAAATGTCATCTTTTATCTGGATGTTGACTTGATGTTAAGGTGTCGAGAGATGCTTTTCAAAACTTTGGTGAAACAGACACAAGCAGATCGTCTCACCGTCACAAACACATGCTGGGTGCTTAGACTGTATTTTAAGCTTGAGGTGCTTCGTTGAAACTAATACTTTTTCCCAAAGCGTGTGTAAATGACATCACGTGTATGGACAGTCTGTTAGAGCAGTTATAAGTGGATGGACGGTGGATTTGTTGGACGTACACCGTGTGCCATTCTGCCCATGCTTTAAAATGTGTTCAAATGTTCATCAGATCAATTTCATAAATGACCTTGGCGTTCATTTTGACAGCTTGTATTTCATTTCTGTATCTTTGTGTTTACAGGAGGACAAAAAGCTGGTTCATGGATTTGTGTGTGCGAAGAACATTCTGCTGGCCAGGGACGGACTGGACCCTGACGAGGGAGGACCCTTCATTAAGCTCAGTGACCCAGGAATCCCCATCACAGTGCTCAACAGAGAGGGTGAGGCCCATATTCAGGCACGCACGCTTTAAGTGAAACCTAATTGTTACAACAACAATGAAACTGCAGTGATACCGGCTTCAATAGTTTCTATTTTCTCCTGCTGGAAACTGGAAATGAAAGTAAAAGCACACTGGGCATGCATGTGTACAGACTCAAAGTCCTCCTCCTTCTCCTTCGTTGGGTTTCTTTTCAAGCGGTGAAATATATGAATAAAAAACCGAGAACATTTCCGATCGAGCCGGCTGCCACTAATAGGAATGATATTTGTCACTGAATCAATAACATTTCCCCTTTTAGAGTGAACTCCTGTTTGTAAATGCTAGATGTATGTTCAGGGAAGGCGGCGGAGCAAGGACATTTCTCGTGTTGCACAGTTCCCCTCAAACGGCTGCCTCATGTTTCTGCTCATCAATTGGAGACAGAAACCATGCGCTTCAGAGCGGCTGATGAATTGGCCAAACCGCAGGTCGGACTGGAAGTGTATTTGTACGATTTTCCATCGCTGCCCCCCTCCGCCCCCCTACCCCCAACACACTCGCTCTCTTCGTTCCCAGAACTCTTTAAACATCGCTCCTTTCTTCTGCAACACTTTGCCAATCAGCCGCTCCAGTTCCAGTTAAACGCTGATGTATTTGCACATTGATTTAATTGAACCCAAAGTGGGTAAAGTGCTGCAGAGAACCTACCAGAAGCACTTTCTCCTCTCTTCCCAGCAATCTCTGATCACTTTTATGCAAACATCCATATCCCTTCACCACTTCTTCCTCTTTTTTTATTTATCTCTCTTTACACACACACACACCCATACACACCCACTCAATTATTCTCTTCACCTTATTTTGACTTCAACAACGTACCGAAACCTCTGAGCGAAGTTCACGCAGACAAGACAAACTGCACCAGCCACACCCATGTGACATGCTGCACTCATGTAGCAGCAGCAGCAGCCACGGCACTAATTAAAGTCCAACACTCCTCTGCCTGACGTTTGCTGCCGCTCTGACGCCACCCTGAATTCAAAGTCCGACTACTTAGTCTGTACAGTCTAATGCAGGTCAAATGATCCCTGCGTGTCTGCAGTTGTTCACGTAGGCCTGAATCAAAGTTAGACCCACAGTTCATGCTGGAAAAAAATATACTAATCACAATTATTTTGGTGATGGAGTCGGGACTATTTTGCACTTTGTTTCACATGAATGACAGTAATACAAAATATATACAATACATACGTGACCGCGTTGTTGCTGTCGTATTGTCGTTTTCCAGAGCGTGTTCACCGTATCCCGTGGATCGCTCCAGAGTGCGTGAAGAACGTTTCTGCGCTGAGTATTGCAGCGGACAAGTGGGGCTTTGGGACCACCCTGTGGGAGATTTGTTACAATGGAGAAGTTCCACTGAAAGAGAAGAAACTCACTGAGGTTTGTCCTGACACGTTTAGGTCAAAAGTACACAGAAGTCAAGTGCAGTACTGCAGTACTAATGCTAAAACAGCAAATCCAAATCCAAAACAGTTTTTTTTTTTTTAAATTCTTGTTTACCACACGCTGTGTTTGTTTTTATGTTTATATTTGTCATATTCCGGCACTGCTCTTTCTTCTTGCCAATGTATGTGGCACGATATTGACCTTCTTGTCCATATCTGACACTGTCCAGAACTTAATTCCGATTGGGATATGAACCGATAAACGAACGTGTGTTTGTCTGTGCTGAGCAGAAGGAGAGGTTTTATGAGAAAGAATGTCAGCTGGCCACCCCGGACTGCAACGAGCTGGCTCAACTGATGACCCACTGCATGAACTACGACCCCAAGAAGAGGCATTTTTTCATGGCCATCGTCAGAGACATTGACATCATCGAGGAGAAGCGTAAGTCGTGGCCTTTAACTTTGTGTCTCAACCTGAGAGCAGCCTCTGAAACTGTACACACACAGTTGTTTTTTCTGCTCAGATGCTCGTGAGGAAGTTCACTGGGTGCACTGTCACTGATTTGCCCCTGAGCTGGGCCCCTATAGCAAATAGATGGCTGCATTGACTCAGCTCTTCCACCTGCTGGCCAGAAGTCGACACTGCAGCCAGTGTTTTTCAAATTCTATTTTTTTAAACAGACGAGTGTGAAGCAGCTGTCAGTTTTTACAAAGAATTATATAAAAGTGATGCTAATGCAAATAAACATTTAAATGCATCAGGCGTCTGCCAAGATGAGGAAACGGTTACACAACAAGTTACACTGAACTTTTAAGTGGAAACTCTGACAGCGTCCGCCATGGTTGACTTCCTGTGATGCAACCTTGCTTCTTTGTAAAAACAGTCCTTAATTTGTGTTTCTTTTTTTTTTTTTTTTAGAACCATCCATCATCACTCAGCCCACGCCCCCAGTTGACCCCACTGTGTTTGAGAAGAGGTTCCTGAAGAAGATCAGAGAACTGGGAGAGGTGAGCTGCTCAGTCTGCTGGACCAGACATGAAAACAGAGCCTGAAATAAAATAAAATTAATCAAATATAGCCCCCATCTGCTTACATAACTAGAAGTTGTTTTTAAGCAAAAAAAGGAAGTTGTTACGATTGTACTTTTGGGCATTTGATGAAGCAATGTGGAAAAAAGAAGTATTGTAAGTGAGTTTTTACTGGCAATTTTAAACTTCAAATCCTTCTTCCTTTAGTCTATGGAACTGTATTTGAAGTTGAAAGAAATATTTGATGGGAATTATTTAAATTCCTGAGAAAAACAAGAAAAGCTCACTGACCCGTGTATCCTATAAACACCAACGTCTGTCGTCTCCCTCCTGCAGGGTCACTTCGGTAAGGTGGAGCTGTGTCGCTACGACCCTCGAGGAGATAAGACTGGCGAGCTGGTGGCAGTGAAGTCCCTGAAGCCCGAGAACCGGGAGGAGCAGGGCAGCAATCTGTCCAGTGAGATTGACATTCTGAAGGCACTGTATCACGAGAACATCGTCAAGTACAAGGGCATCTGCCAAGAAGAAGGTGAGAGACAGAAGGACAGACGCATGCGTCCTCAACAGTACCGTGAAAAAGCTGACTTCCTGTCTGCACGCAGCATCTGTAAATGGGGCTGGAACCCAGCACCTTTAGGAGCAAAAAAAGAAATCAAATGCAGCTGAATTGACAGGTTCACGTTCATGTCTGCTCTGATCCTGAAGTTGTTCATGTTTCTTTTGGTCAAAAGAATTATATCAACATAATGTAGAACAGTTCAACTTCAGACAGAGTTGTTTACACAACAGTATCACACGTGTCTTAAAATATTTCAGCCGTTAAAGCGAACGCATAAAGAACTATTTGACTCACCCTGGTGGCACCAAAAAGGAAATACAAATCAATAAATGTTTATTTTTTACTCATGTACTCAGTGGATGAAAGAATCTGACGAACTTCTCTCCTCAGATGTGATGGCTTTATGTTAAAGCAAACTTTGTGCTGATGCTTTAAAGCTGACAGCATCTGTGTGTGTGTCTGTGTGTGTGTTTCCAGGTGGTCAGGCCATCAAGCTGATTATGGAGTATCTTCCACTGGGCAGTTTGAAGGAGTATCTGCCCAGGAACAAGAGTAAGACCACCCTCAGTATGCTGCTCAGCTACTCCATCCAGATATGCGAGGTGAGAGCATCACCCACTGACATTTAACTGACCATTAGTGAAGGTCAACAGACAACCACGACTGATATCTTCCTTAAGGACAAGAAAACGTCAAGTTTCTTGACCTTACGTCCACAGTCTTTCTGATCCAAACCATCTGGTTTAAAATCAGCCGACGTCAAAGTACGTTTTTGTCTTTTTCTCCTTGTGGATTCTTTAGGGAATGGATTACTTGGGATCCAAGAATTACATCCACAGAGACCTGGCCGCTCGGAACGTTCTGGTGGAGAACGAGAGGACGGTGAAGATCGGAGACTTCGGCCTCACCAAGAGCATCAAGGAGAACGAGGGATATTACACCGTCAAGGACGATAACGACAGCCCGGTGTTCTGGTGAGTGGACAGGAAGAAAAAGGACAAAAATCCTTATTTAGCGTGAACAAAAATGTCTTAAAACCTATAAATCCATGTTTGGAAAATCTCAAATATGCCATAATAAATCCAAAGAAACTAAGGAAAAACAAAACTGCCCCAAAAAAATGTCTTTTTTTTTTTAAGAGCTTCTAACATGAGTGTTAATTAAAGGAGGCTCTGTAAGAATCTGGGGCTGCATTTCAGCCTGTCTGAGACATGATCAAAACGTTCAATAGGAAATAGAAAAAAAAAGTACTCTAAAAAAGTTATGTGTTTTGCCTGCAGGTATGCTCCTGAGTGCCTGACTCTCTGTAAGTTCTACCTGGCCTCAGACGTTTGGTCCTTTGGCGTGACGATGTACGAACTCATCACCTACTGCGACTCCTCCAAGAGCCCCATGAATGTGAGTTCAGTTTTTCAAACACACAGCCGATGGTCAAACTGAAATAAAGAAATTAAATTATAATCCTTCCCCACTGTTGGACATAATCCACAACATCTCTGTACCCCCTCAAAGGGGCCCGACCCCTTGATTGGGAACCATCGCATTAAGGATTTATTAAAGTTCTGAAAAGTGACGCGTACTGCTTAAAATATTGATAAATACTATTTTTTTTGTCAGATTCTGACTGAAAACATTAGAGGTGAGAAAAAAAGAATTTCACTTCTAACCAAGTTCTTCATCTGTCACAGCTCTTCTTCAGTATGATTGGTCAGACTCACGGTCAGATGACCATCATCCGATTGGTGAAAGTGCTGCAAGAAGGGAGGAGGCTGCCACGCCCTGAGGGATGTCCTGAGCCTGTAAGAGAACTTTTTTGTTTTTAATCCCCCTCCTCTCTCCCTGAAAACGGGAACTTTCTCTTCTCTAACCTCTGTGCGTCTCCTCTGTGCGTTGGCAGGTGTACGAGCTGATGCGCAGGTGCTGGGAACAGCAGCCCGACAAAAGGATCTCCTTCAGGTGCCTGGTCGAGAAGCTGACGCAGATGCTGCAGCAGCTCCAGGTGGAAAACAGCTTCTAAAACAGAGAAAAAAGGAAGAGAGGATCATCCGCCGTCGCCGCCGCTGCTGCTGCAGCTGCTGGAGACGGTGTGCATGAGAGTGGATGTTTGGATTCTTCTACCAGAGACCACACGACAGAGACAACAGAGCTTCACACGTCACTGAGGTTTTTTTTTTGTTTTGTTTTTTGTTTTTAACCCATGTCCATGACATTACTTTCACCCAGTAGACTTTTTAAACGGGCCTTTATTTGACTACAGTATCAGTAGGGTCTCGGGGGTGGGGGGTACTAAGTCAGTACAAGTAGCCTTATTCCTGTTAGATGTGAGCCCGAATCTTCCGGAAGAATTTCCAGGTGTATCCACACACATGGATTTGAACTGTGGAACCAGACGGAGCCGTCGGCGTGATGTTCTTCACTCTTCTTGATCGCCTTCATCTTTTTTGACACAGTCACATGATGGATCAGCTGAGGATCACTATCTGTTCTTCTCATCAGACTCTTCCTACAGGTTTTCAGACCTTGGGTTGGGACTTATCAGGATATTTTAAGTCGACTTCCTCGAGATTATTCCACTCTGTTTTTGATTTTTTCTACTGGAAGTGCTGACTGGGTTTGGTAGTAACTTCACATGGATGTTTGATCTGGACACCTTGACTGTGGTCCAAGTAACAAGACAATAGATGATGACGAACCACCATGCTCCATGGATGACCAGCCATTGGATCATTCATTTACTAGTCAGAATATTGGGGTTGAGTAGAACTCTATTTAACCACCATTTAACAACCATATAAATACATTAAATGTCATTTAGTTTTTCCACTGTTTCAGTCTTTAAAGGAAAACGACAGCAGGGGGCAGACACTGACCTTGTGGGTCAAGGATCGGGCTTGTGGTCTTAGCACCAAAACTCTTTATTTAAAACACTGGGATTATAACAAAATTCCAGGTCAGTGAAGTTTTAAAAACAGCTCCATACTCTGTGAACTGCTGCCTATAGGATTAACAGAGAACCAAAACAAATGTATAAAAGTGCACAGGGTTTTTTCCCCTTCTGACTAGTCATATTGCTACTTGATTTAAAGCTGCCAAAATGCATAAAATGTGGGTGGATTTTACTTTATTGGCAGATTCAGGATAAGCAGAAAATGTGGTGAGAAAGACCAGGATGTAGGATGTAGAAGAGGAAAAATATGTAAAAATGAATTCTAAATTGTTCTACATCATTCAAAAGGAGTCACTTTAAAAAAGAAAAACCATACAGCACTTCTGGTCATTTTCCTGATTTTTTTTTTAAATCAACTATATCCAACTGTTTATTTTTTTATATACAGTCAAGACTATTTTTAGTTTGTTTTTCTTCCTATTTTTATTTACTTTTTAACATTATTTTTAATCCAGGAAGATGTATGATGAAACAAGTTCCAATTGTAATCTGCTTTACTGGTGTAAAAATGACCTTTCTGCCTCCTATAGTTGAATGTTTAGCACTTATGGAGCATAAGATGATGGTCACTAGAGGGCAGCAGATCTGTATTTTTTCATGTCTGTTCTCTCGGTTGGCTTGTGAAGAGTAGGAGCGGTGGCGAGGAGAATAGAGTGAAAAGAGTGAATTGTTAAAGTGAGGGAGAGTATTTACGTGGTTTTTACGTTTTAACGTAAATATTTTACGTCTTCGTGTTAACGTATGTGCGACAACAGTCAGACCGGATGTAGTTCAACATGAGCTGTACTGTGGATTGTTGGGGGAGAAAAATCACCGCTCACAGTTTCAGTGCTTCACTCCACCGTTTATTTAGGAATGTAAAAGACAATTCCTTCAGCTCAGAGAAAAGTATATTTTTTTCAAATGTAACACAAAAGTAAGAATAATTGCAGGTAAAATATCAATAAATACACCATTAAAAATAAATACAATCAGTGGGTTTTCCTTCTTTTCTGTCGTCAAATTAAATGTCGATATGAATATTGTTATTACCATCAATACTATCGTCTTCTAAAACTATTTTGTTCTTCATATATATATTTATATATATATATTATACAGCTGTATGTAGGCATGCCAAAATTGCTCTAGAAATACTTTATTCACAGTAAAACATTACAATAATCAGTGTTTGATATAAAATTTAGCAAAATCTACAGTTTTTTTAAGTTAGAAGAAAAATCCACATTTAAAAGCATCAGTTTACAAAATTGAGAAGCGAAGGAAACGTATATGCAAATCAGAGCGACTGCAGTATTGCCAAGCTTTGTTACCACACACACACACACACACACACTGTACAGTACATATAGGTTTGTGTTTCCCTATTGCAAAGTCCAGCCTCACCACTGACTACGTCATATGGGATGGCAGTGGAGCTGAGGGTGGCGCTGTTTAACAGTAAATAAAAAAATATGAATATGGAGGAGGTTGACGGCAGTTTTTCAAAAATGGGACTTTTTTTTATGCCAACGCTCCAAACATGCTCAAAATGTTCTTACCAATGCTGCGCAACATGAACCAGAGCCCAAGTCAACACTCGTGAAAGTAAGGTATAAACTTAGTGAACAGTCCTAGTCACAAACCTCTGGTTCCTTTAACAGATTGAACAACAAAACCACAACATGTTCAACTGAAGTCTGGTGATGCACAAAAAGACAAGAAAGCAGAAATATCTGTGGGGACAATTTTTTTCTGCAATATTGTTATTAAAATGACATAACACATAAAGCAGAACTTCTGTATTTGTTATAGTATGAGGCAAAATTATTTTTCAGAGGTATCCTTTTGAGTCAATGTTTCTGGCTTCTGTAGCCAACGTCCTGTTGTTTCACGGCTAATTTTAAGGCATTCCATTTTTAAAACCTAAAAGCATGAAATGACGATGTGAACAATCGTCTGTCAGATAATCACGACCTTCAGTCCTCCACCGTGGCCATGTCTGTGAAACTCACGTCAGCCCAATGGGCTTCACACCCAATACCACCATCTAGTGGATGTACGTCTTATCAACCATGCCAAATATAAGGCACACGCCGAAGTATGTGGGCAGTGAAGCTTGAAACGGAAACTTACGAACGTATGTGAACCCCCCCCACACACACACACACTCTCACAGGACCAACATGCAAAGCAAACTACCTTGTGTCAGAGCTAGGATCCAAACCTGTTCTCACCTAATGCAGAAGCACAAACCACTACCTGCCTGTGCCCCCCCCCCCGGCCCGTCCCTAACAGGACACAGATCTGGACCACTGCAGCAGGAGAACCTGTCAGAAATACGAGTTCTGACACCAAACAACCAGAAGGAAACTAAATTTGTTTAAAGAGAAAAAAATCCTGACAGGATTGGACAGGTTATTTTTGTAAGAAAAATAAAGTATGTGACAAAAACAAAGAAGAAGAAGAAAAAAAAAACCCAGAGAAAAATCCCAAACTATCAAACATGTACTGTGTCCCACCTCGGGGACTGCCACACTGGTATAATGCAGCCTGTGAACACTGGGCTCTATTTAGGGTCCGGGCTCTGACAGTCAGTGACAGCAACAATGTTAAGTCATGCAGATTTAAAAATTTTTTTTTGGCAACTTTAATTTTATTTTTTGCCAAATCTGGAAGAATTAGAACACTGACGTCAAAGTCACGCAGTTTGTTGTTAAGGTGATCACAATTAGATTCTTCTGTTTTTTAATGGCTCAGACTGTATATGGCATGGTTGTGGTTGCAATCTGCCACCTTACCACTAGATGTCTCTCAGAAGATTTAATTTAATGACCAAAATTACCACATTTATATGTGAAGAAAATCTAAAAATATACCCCCTCCCTATTTTTCTGTATTAATGTTCCACTTAACTGCAATCCTCCACATCACCAACAGGAGGCAGTATTGTCTTAATGTGAGAGCGATTTGGACCAAATATTAGGATTTTTTAAAAAAATTCCATCTTTGATTATATAAAATTATTTTTTTCTAAATATATTTTTGCGGCAGGTGGCGCTATAATGGGATGAGTTCTCCATTTGGTCTTGACACCTCATTAGAGGTTTAGCTGTGGGTCTGATTACATATTGAATCTAACAAAAACACATACCGTAGGTGAAATGTGCCAGAATGTTCTGGACGTCTGTGAAATCACAAACCTAATCCTGTGCTGTTACTAATGTGAATCACAGCAGGGGGCAGTGTGAGGACAGAGAGAGTGTGTGATGCTGTGTCCACACTAATGACCACAGCAGAGGAGACATGTCGTGTCACTCAGTCAAACACACACACACACACACAGAGAGTCTGAGGCAACATTCCACTCTGATGAAAAACTAAAAAATAAACACAGTCGTTTCCTCGCATCACCAGCCAGAAGGATATTTCAGAGAACTGCAGGTCATAAGTACACACAACATACCAGTACTTCAAATGTACACGGACAGGTGCTGAATAGTCCACGTACCAAAACCAACACTACAACATTCTGCAGACAATATCGAAAGAGTGAAAACGACTGAGAAACTGGTCTGAACATTTCCAGGGTCCAACCTGTGACCTCTCTGTCAGGGTCAGTAGGTTTTAGAGTTAATACTGTAGGTCACCAGCAGTGGCCGCTGTGAAGCTGCAGCTCACTCAGCTGCACTGACACCAGACTTTGGGGTCTGTAAATATATCAGCCACAAACAAGACTCCCCTCAGAGACTGGAGAAGAAATGTGTGTCTTCATGCTCCTGAATTAGGATTGGACGCACACACACACCCACTGTTCTCCTTCTCCTTACATTCGTGAGACACACACACCCACTGTTCTCCTTCTCCAAGTGTCTCCTTACATTCGTGAAGACACTTTTCAACATCTTGAACGCCAAGTGACAAATGAATTGTCCAATAGGAGTCAAGATGCAGGCAACAAAGACGTGTCACTCCCAAAAGGTAAAAAACAAAGTATATTAAATATCAACACCAGTCATGCTCTATCACCAATTTTCCATTAAATGGGATTGAACAGTAATATGTCCAACTGACCTAAAGTTCTACTAAAGAACACCAGAAATAAGTGAACATTAAGGTCTTTAAATTTCACACCTTAAGTGTCTAATGATTGAAACCAGTGACACTTAAGCTGTGAGGCAACCGTGCTACCACTACACCACCATGCAGCCAAAGTGATTGGTCATTTGATAAAAAAAAACAAAACAAAAACCTGGCGTGTCAAACCTTAGACCAGGGATTCCAAACCACTGAACCACAGCATAACAGTGTTTAAACGTTACTTCAAAATATGTATTTACTGTAAATCATTTGTCTTTGTTTCCGTCTATGTGACAGTGACAGGTAGAACAGGTAAATTCTCTGTAGCGTGTTTTCTTCAATTCCTGCAAGTATATCAGTATTGTGGTCAACTAAACAGGCAGTGTACTTCAATTGTGAATAATTTGTAAAAATTGTAATGTTAAATATGTGCTGTGGCTCAAAGGTGGCTCAAAGCGTTAAATATGTGCTGTGGCTCAAAGGTTGGGAAACACTGCCTTAAATGACGCCCTCAGAAGACATATATATAAAAAAACAATGACATAAATTAATAAATTAAGTAAAATTTCAGAATAGATCATTTTACATTTACAAACACTGAACTATTAATAATAATAAAAAAAAACACAAACACTGAACTATTAATAATAATAATAAAAAAAAAGACTCCTACGTTACCACACGCGGCTTCTGGTGCACGTTGCCTACTTCCTGTTTACTCCTTCTGTCTGTTTTCACAGTACGAGTGTGGTTGCCATGGTGACGGACGTCATACTCTGACCTGATGTATATATGTATTACATTAGATAAATATAAGCAACTGAATGGAAATCAGCCTGTATGTTACTGTGTAAACTGCACAAAACATTCACAATAAAAAGAACATTTTACATTTCCACTCGGTTCAGAGAAGCCTCAGTTATTGCCTGTGCGTGGCTATCAATAAATGCCAGCGGGAAAAAAATACATAAAAACATTTTTTTTTCTTTCTCCAGCTCTTATTCCTAATATCTGTGAAAAACATCTTTGTGGTAAACAGCCCTAAAAACCTGTACTTCAGGGTGTCATCATATCAGAACTACTCACAGGCCCTATAGTATGTATACAAATGATCACATTTAGAGGAAAATGGGAGATAAAGCACAGTGTTAGACAATGCATATGAGCAGTGCATATGCATTGTCTAATGAAAGCCTATAAAAGTCCATGATGAACACCTTCGTTCTAGTGTAGTCTTCTCATGCTTTATAGTGTTTTCCTCTAAATAGGATCGTAACAAGGTGTAAATCTGTCTTATTTTTCTACAGTATAGACCTAGATTTCTATGACGATCAAAAACCAGTGTCTTGTCTTTCTCTACCGTGTGGCAGAATCCATTTCTCACAGCGTGTGTATAAGTCTTTGACTACTCCTGTGTTTTTGTTTTACCTCAAAGGATCTTAAAATACTTATTTACATTCATACTTGTAATTACTACAGTATATACATGACATTCTATATACTCTTTGTTCTTCAACAAGACTTACACAGTCTTTAAATCTGAAACACTAAAGGTGGTAAACAAATAGTCAACAGAGAAAATTGTTAAAACACATTGAGAAATAAAACACTCAGGAACCAGAATTACATCTATATAATAATCCCTGGCAAATTAGAGTCACTAACTTCGTAGTTTTGAGAACTGTTCCAAATAACAACAGGAGTCACAGAGACTTGTACACAACACTTTTCAGCCTGTAGTTTAGCCTGTAGTACCGCCTGTAGTACTGCCTGTAGTACAACTGTGTCCTGTTTCTGCTGAGGGCTGGTGTAAAATCAAAGACATTTATAAAAACTGGAAATGGAAATGAAGCTCCTGTTAAAGAGGAGAGGAAAAGAGACGCAAACCACGTGTTTGGAATAAACGGAAAAAAAGAAATACCAATCAAACAATAAAGTATCAATCAATCAATCAATCTCAGTTAAATTTCAAACCGCTGTTAATATAAATCAGTAAAATATCGTGTACCTCAAAATATACAGTATATATATGAGTATATATAAACATATATGTATGCATATGGGCGCATATATATACACATAAATATGTGAATATATACATAAATATATATATACATATATATGCATGTATACACATATGTTCATAGTTATGCACACACATATCTGTAAATGTATGTATGTATATATATATATTTATATATATGCACACATACATATATAATGTTATATAATCCAAAATATAAAAAGGCTCCCTTTGGAGGAGGAAAAAGCTCAATATAGTGAATATGTTGTTGTTGTTGTTGACTGTACATGGCTTTTGACACTGTTTTTCTCTGACTCTCTATAGTTACGGCCCATTCATTGTCAGTCAGGGGCCACATCTAAGGGGCCTCTGCTGTTCAGTCCCTCTTTGTTCCTGATATTATCCCAACCTTGGGATTTAAATGGCTGACGCTTCCTACAGATGCAGCACATACAACACCCACACACAGTCTCTATACAAGGACACACACTCACACAC